ATTAATAAATACTCTCACAATGATTGAAAATATATCAACTTACCTACGAAGTTACGGAATTCACCGAGATCAATACGTCCATCAGCATTAAGATCAGCAGCTCTGAAGACAGCTTCTGCAGCCATAATCGTTTGTGTATTGTTAATGTGAATAGAGTACTAACTTGGAAAGATGAGAAGTGAAGAAAGCTACGAGTAGATCACTGTTTATATAGGCCCAGTCGTTCATGCATGGATAGAGATGAAACAAGCAGAGAGGGAGAGGGAAAAAGGCAAACAACGGTATATTTTTGCTCTTACGCATCACTGCTTTGCTTGTCAAGGTTGTTTTTTTGTGCATGAAATAATGGTTAGCCCACATAAAAAAAAACGATAAAAAAGAAGAGAGAGATACTGCGCGGAAAAAATACAAAAATATGTTTTCATAAATAATGTTGTATCTATTATTAGACAAAAACAATGAAAAAAGGTATAAACATATTTTTTAATTGTTGTTTAGCGGACTGAATCAGATGATAACGACGATTTCAGTTTAACTTGATGCAAAGTTTATAGAATAATTTAGAATTTATATTAATAAAATTATTTTTATATAGAATACTAATAAGATATTTAATATGAACCATGATTCTTTGAAAGAACTTTGAAATATACAAAATATGAAAAGAAAAGCAGCAGTGGTTTTTTTTTGGTAAATAACAATTGGCTAGAATAAAGAAATCAATGACTCACTATTTTACCGCAACATGTGGCTTGAGGTATCTGCTTAAAATAACCTTTTTTTTTTCAATGGGAAATTTATAATAGAATATTTTTGATGAAAAGTGCGTACTCATATTTAATCTTAGATGTGTAGTAATGGTGTAAATAGTAAAAAATTGAGTAAAGGTTTCACTGGACACTGGTTACGATAGAATACTTGATTATATTGATATTGAAATACGAATATAATTCAAATAACAAACATTTGTACAATCACTTGTTTATTTTCTTCGGGATTGACTCATTAGTTATTTTATCTTATTTTCATTTTTTTTTCTTTTATTATATTCATATAATTGTCAACAATATTAATCTCTATAACAAACTTTTTCATCTAAAAGTTAACAATAAAAAGTAGTTTAACTCTAATCAACAACAAATAAATTCGATTAATAAAAATATATTTGAAACCCTTTTAAATAGAAAAACATACTGATATAAATGAATATGATAGTATAATAATAGCATTAACTAATTTTGTTGAATATATTGCACAAATGATAGAACAATATGAACTAAAAAAATATAAATATTGTACCACAAATGTCGAATAGTATTTTATTAAACAATATTAAACAAACTAGTGAAGATTCATTGGAATCATTTCGGTATCACAAAAAATAAATAAAATTTTTTTTCCCCTAATTTTTCTTATTATTTTAACTTTGAATAGAATTCTCAAATGATCCCAAGAAAGTTTTATTTTTAGCAATGCATTCTTCTCTTACAATTGATTTTAATTATGTATTAATACTCATTTGTGCAAATAAACTAAATATAATACTAACTAACGGCATTTATCAAAAATTAGCTATTACATTGAATGAACAAATAACTTGTTCTATTAAATTTGATGCTACTAAACGGAAATCGATGCGAAATACTTATCAAGTTTAAGCATATATAGTTGATGTTAATTTAACTATGAAATCTAGCAATTTATCTTAACATATTATTAGAATAATTTTAACATCGGCAATATTTCGCGTAGAGAGAATTTTTTTAATGTTAACGAAAAAACTAAAGCCCTAGATAGATTAGAAGATTCGGAGTTTTGGTATCAGATAAATCTGTACCTAAGATCTTTTCAAGATTTATTCAAAGATTCTTACATCTCAAGGTCATGAAAGAGATATCAGTCGTTATTATCTTTTTCCACGATCTTGAATAAAATAAAAAGCGACATCATCGATTCATTTAAATATTTAAAAATCCTTTAGTTGCTTGAAACTACTTTTCAGAACTCAATCACATAGAAGTATCATTCTCAAAGATGTGCCAAAAAATTGACAGCCATGAAGACAATTGTCAACCAATGAAATTGAAGTTATGAAGAACAGTGAGAGAAGAAAAAGATAATTTATTTAATATAAAATTTATCAAGTGTGAACAAATGTTTTTTTTCGACTAATCCAGTGTTTATTCATGAAAGTTTAGTGTTTTAAGAGTAGATGGTTGCTGTTCGGTTACGGTACAAGATGATGTGGACGTCAATTTTTTGTTTTGAAAAACGATAAAATAAAAGACTTTTTAGATTTTAGTATTAATCCAATCTTTAATTTAGATGATTTTTTTGGTATCTTTCTTCCTCTAGTGATTTTTCTAAGATATTATAGAAATAAAACATGCTAAAGCTTATTTCTATTTGTAGATTTTTATACCTAATCTTTTAAACTATCAAATATAGATGTCTTACATACATGATCATCAACTTAACGACATCATTACTATCTCATGTCGTTAAATAAAAATCAAGACGAATGACAACTCAGCATCAGTAACAACAATTAGAAATACAAAATTAAAAATATTTAAAAAAATTAGACACAAATATTAATGAGAGCAGAGAATAAAGGTCTTCGTACATTAAAATTTTTCTTTATTTAAATTTACAAAAATAAACAGGCTTTTGAACTGTTAGAAATTACTCATATGAATCAGAAAATTTCTTGAATTTTTGTGCTATTTTTAAAGAGAATTTAACTTGCGTTCAATGTTCAGATAGATATTTCTCACTTGTAAATATAGATTTAGCCGTCGGATTTTGACTGATGATCTTGAAAATTTCCATTATTAGTATAAAAAATGTAATTGCTCGAAGAAAAAAAAAAGATCAGTAAAAACAATCACAGAAGACTAGACATCAAATTAAAGATATTGAATAACTGCACCTAAGATCTTATGAATCTTTACTCAAGATCTTATTAATCTGTACCCAAAATCTAATTACAGACCTTGGTGCAAGATAATATGATTATCCTGTACCTAAATTGTCAAGATCTGTTCACATTTCTGTACCTTGTATCTTGACCAAGATCTTGCTTACAAGATGTTCAACTAGGGTTTATATCGCTTTGCACATGTCTCTTTGTCTATATCTATACCGGACGAATATAGCACATATATTTATACGTGTCCGTTTCGTCTGGCCAACGAACAAATTCACATATACACTCAATCTATCAACATCGATTTCCACTGTTTACGTTCATTATGAAGAATAAATATAATTCGTACACTACTGTCTTCAAGCAAAACGTGTTACAAGAATATCGCTCTGGTATTTTCGGTTCTGGATTCAAGTCATTAGCCAAACAATTTAAAATAAAAGGTGGTCACAAGCTGATTATGCGTTGGTATCAACAATGGGACGGCACGGTTCAATCATTAAACCGAAAATCAAACGACGGTGGACCACGTACAATGACACAAGATCAAGTGAAGCATTATCTATTAGATTTCATTACTATGATGAATAGTCAACACAAACCAGTCAATTATAAAATAGTACAATCACATATTGAAGATTCATTAGGTCAAAAAGTGCCATTAAGTGACATTCAAAGATATGGTAAAGAATGTGATATTAAGTGGAGAAAAGTTCAAGAATTAACGCTACCAGATAGTAAGTGTATGGTCTCATAATAAAGACATGTTACTACTTCGTTTGAATGTTTAAAAGCTCATTTAATCATTTTCTGTACTTAGTCGATGACGAACATTGGAATCAGATTGCTAAATTTCGAAAGTTTTTACAACGAATTCACAATGATAGACTGGCGTTTATTGATGAAATAGCCATTTATGCAGTTATGCCACCTCGTCAAACACTTGTAGCACCAGGATATCAACCATTAATTATTGTCGAGAAACCATCAGCTCATGCTCAACGTTATGATTTTATTGGTGCTCTCAATGGTTCACAATCGATCGCTTGTATGATTTTGACACCAGCGGATCGTAAAAATCGAAATATTGACGGTATTAGAAAAGAAATAGTGAATGAATGGATCGTCAAAACGCTAGCACCAACAATTAATCGATTAGGTAGTAATAACATTTATTTGATATGTGATAAAAGTTGGTCTCATAGCAAGGTGAATATGATGGAAGCATTAAAGACTGGTAAATGTAAATCAGTCGTAGATATTTGTTACATGCCAATAGCATTAACAAAGTACATATCACCATTAGATAATTCAATTTGTCATGGATTCAAAGAAGCTATTCGAAGTCAATATCCAGTGACAACAGCAAATCTTCCATCGCTACTTTCAAAAACTTTTTTATCTTTATCGCGACGACAGATCAAGAATGCATATCGTAAATGCGCCATTGTACGTGGTACTGATGTATATTATGATCGACCGTCTACATAAATAATGTTCTTTTTTGTAATCCAGATGAAACATATATTGTCGAAAAAAAAATCATCATCTTTTCTTTTGACATGTTTTTTTATCTTCTGATTTGCTTTAGTTCCCTGTGAACAATCAGCCATATGATGCAGTAAAGTCTGTACTTTCTCGCCGTATACTCAATATTTAAAAAAGATAAAACTATAATAGTTTAAAGTTAGAAATACACAGGGGAGAAATATTATTGAGGTGCACTGTATTTATTTCTTCGATTTTAACTTTGCAAAAAAATGATCCAAGAAATTGAATTGGAGTCCATTTTAACCCAAAAAAATTGGTTCGATCGCAGTTTTGACATCATGTTTATAGTGATGTAGTCAATGAACCGCTAGATATTGAGCTCTGGCATAAGTAAAAATCCAACTATGCCACTATATCTCTTGTGTAATTTTCTCATTTGAACTGTGTGATTTCTTGGCAAAGAGAGCTCTTTATGCTGTAACATGGGCTATAAATCTTTTCTATTATGTAAAATTAAATCTGCCACAAACTTAATCAAATCAGATATCATTATTATTCATTATGGAATGCATAGACTTCATTGTTCGAGAAGATAGAGCTTCGGCATTCAGCCAAATTATGAAACTCTTGAAATGCAAGCAAATTCTCTATTATTTTTCTTCTATACTTCAAACTTCATACAAATTATATAACAGACACGTTTATATATTGTTGAAATTAACCATGTTTGAGTCTGACAATTTTTTTTCTTTAAATTTTTTAGTTCATTTTCTTATCAAGATATTAATAATATTTTCTTGTCAAAAGTTGAAAGACTTATCTTTTACAAAGAAAAGTCAATCTTGAACGACGAAAATCAATAAAATAATTGATAAGATTGCAATTAACATATTTTTTT